TGACCAAAAATCGTATGACACTTTATACATATAGACCATTCAGGCGCGTAGCCAGGATGGAAACGAAGTGTACGCAAATAACGGTCGGGGGTCTGGGGGCCGCCCTGAGGCCCCCAGTGGGTCCAGGGCGAAGCCCTGATGGGGGCCCATGGGGCGAAGCCCCCGGAAGCTCGTGGATTTTAAGAAAAAATTTAGTCATTTTCCCGGAAAAGAAATCACGCTACATCTCTTTTCTCGAGCAAGCACTTAGCAAAGTTATACTTCCATGAATACTTCAAGAATTAAGAGAACGATAATTTAATCAAATCAATTCACGGAGATTTTAGTATTGGAAAAAAAGTTTACAAGTGTGACAAGATAAAACAGAGAAATAATTTCAATATCGTAATCATTGGAGTTTTAATATTTCATAAAATAAACGGGGGTGTTGATGGGGGGGGGATGTGTCTCATTTTTGATTTTCTTTATATTCTGATAGCTTAAACAATGTGAGAATGCTTATAATATAATTTTATAAATTGGTAATATCAGTAACAGAAGATATTCATACATATTTTATTATTTACTTTAGCGTAATTTAAATTTTACCATTTTTTTGTTTAACGACATTTATTCATTATACCTCAACGGATCCGAAATTGAAAATCTTGCATAGTCGTCCAAAATTCTTGAAACTTTTTCTTGAGATCAAAGTCCCTTAGATCGCTTTCCTTCACCAAATATTTGTCCGATAATCAGGATTACGCGGATAAACAGTTGAACATTTTGGTTCAAGATTTTCTCCCTCAAGAATTTTGGAAGATGTTTTTGAAATTGATTATTTCACTGTATTATTAAAAGACTAAATTTGACTGTACAGACATGCGGAACAAAATTTAAATCGACACAATAAGACGCAAAATAATTTGAAACACGATACTACTTCCTTTTTTTCTCGAATAAATATCTCTCTTTCTTTTATTTTCGTTCTTTTATTCTTTTTTTAAATTCTTTTTTTTTTTTTTTTGAAAATGATGTGTACGCACCTGCGTACTTGCGTATAGGCAGCTACGCGCCTGCCATTAAATGTTTCAAAAACTTTATAGAAGAAGAAATTAAAGTGTACATTTACAGGAATGAGAGCACCAAATCCCCGGATGCACACATGGCTTTGTTTGTTATGGAACATTAAACAGAATACTGAATGGGTAGGCGTTACGCCATTGGCTGAAATCAGGTATTTAATTGTTTTCATTTTAAAGTAAAATTAATGACCTTTGAAATAAATGATGGGATGAGGGAATATTACAGAAACTATAGAAATACCAGGGAAGATTTTAGGAGTGGGGGTTGATTTTTTATGCCGCGTGTTATTTACTGCGAATCTCTATAAGTTGAAAATAACTGCAATTTTGACCTATAAACGCCATGGGACCATATATTTTTTTCAGTATTTTTTGTTAGGGCTTAGAACAAAGTTTGAAATGATGCTAAAGATTTTTCTGAAATTGTCATAGTAAAGTACTGAGAGGGCCTAAGGTTTGTATGGAGTTCTATGGGAAAATAATTAGTGGTCTTTTCCCTATAGAGACCCCAATTTTTACACTTTAAAGTGATTTGAAAGTCATGAAATGTTATTTTTAGCTAATTATTTGAAGATTGATGACATTTCGAGAGAAAATTTAGCAAAAATTTGAATTAGTATACTGCGGTAATGGGGTTAGTGGTGATTTGGGTCTATTAAAGAGAGGAGGGGGGGGGGGGGGTAAGAGAAGATAGAAATTAGTAAAGTCGTGTACAGTTGACATGGTCAAAGGAGGAAGGTAAGTTAAGAAAATGTATTAGATTGTTCTTAAGATGAATGATTGTATGTATACATAGATTTATGTGTGTATTTTGCATGTACATGTGACTGTGTATTTATTATGTTTTGCTCTATCTGTGTATATTATGGAAGTGTAGGACAGTGACCTGGTGTTCATTTTTTTTAGTTTCTTAGACTTTTGCACTTTTGGCATTTTTTCTAATAATTAAGGTGGCACATAAAAGGAATTTTTGTGATGGACAAGTGAAAGGAGGACATTTTCTGTCTTGTCATCTCATGTTTGGTAGTGTATGTGTTCCTCTGGATTGCCCCCCCCCCTTTCTTGGCTGCAGGGTGATCAGTTTGTAGTTTTGTTGTTTCTATGTTGTAGCTACACAAAGGTCTATGTTTTCTCTTTTTTCGCTCTTTGTAGTTTGATCAGAATTACTCGCTGCGACTCACTTTCTAATGGTTTCTAGTTTTTGTACTTAGAGTTACTTCCCTTAGACCTGCTGACCAGACAGGCAGAATTTCAACATGATGATATCTTAACAGTTGTGACCTTTGGCTTCTGATTTTTTTTCATAAATTATTGTAATGACCTTGAACTGCATTTATGACATTTGACCTTTATTATATTTACATGTAATATTATGTAATATTGAAAAAACATGTATTCCACCCTTGGCGGATCCATTTTTCATACATTTAGCTATGTAGAAGACATGTAATTAAGGAAATTTTTAGAAAACTTGAAAAATATTGTTGTTTCATTCATGATTTATGCTTAATTTGACTAATTTTATTGATTTATTTTCATTTAAGCACTTTAGAGGAATTTCATCTTTCAGCTTTCTTGGCCCTGGGAGTGCTCGGTCTCTGATCAGCAGGGGCATTTTCTCTATATAAGAAGAAAATGGAGACTCCCTACCCACCCGATGTATTTTGTCGGACAGTTTTCTGTACATTGCAGGTAAATTTTTTATTTATTAACTTTCCAGCCTCTTATTGTATAGTACATTTTGGGGGTTGAAGTCAGTTTTTGCTTTTCTTTAATTTTTAAAAAAAATTATTTAAATTCTCCTTTTCTTAGCATGAAATTCAAAAAGTAGCTTCTGATTGTAATGTATAAGACTACAGATATTGAACTTTGATTTGTTATCAAAAGGATTGATTTAAACTTGTCTAAATTAATTGTAAACAAAAATAAAAGGGGGCACCTGCTATTTCTTTAAGTGTTTTTCACTGGGGGGTGGGGAAACTTTTTTGTACATACTTAAGCAATAGGAGGGATTAGATAAGAATCAATTAGTATATCAGAGTCTTAAATAATTTACTTTGCATAAGCATAAATAATTCTATATCAGTCTTTTTAAAACCTTTGAATTTTGCTTAATTAACTATGATTTATCCAATTTTGGAGCTTTTTACCTAATTCTGGGTAGAATCCACCCTTATGAAATTATTGACTCAATTTTGACTTAATATCACTTTATTAACATTAAAACACAAAAACAATTCATTGTACAAATATTTTATTTATTACAGTCACCAATATATTCAAATATCATCACCGGCCCAGATGTCATTCACTCCTTTAAACTGTGCTGGTAGCAGTAAGGTGTCATCATTTGAGATGGTCACAGTATCCAATACACTGAAGTCACAGGACTCAAATTTCATACATGTTCACAGGTAGGTGTATAGTCTTTGAAATTACCACAATTGACTAATTCTGGGACAGGTAAGTATGTAAGTATAGGAATGAGAGCACCAAATCCCCGGATGCACACATGGCTTTGTTTGTTATGGAACATTAAACAGAATACTGAATGGGTAGGCGTTACGCCATTGGCTGAAATCAGGTATTTAATTGTTTTCATTTTAAAGTAAAATTAATGACCTTTGAAATAAATGATGGGATGAGGGAATATTACAGAAACTATAGAAATACCAGGGAAGATTTTAGGAGTGGGGGTTGATTTTTTATGCCGCGTGTTATATAGGATCCGGGCCACAATTAAAGGGTGAAGGTCAAATGGCTAAAACGTAGCACATGTAGGAAATTCATATGCCTCCCTTTCAATGACAAAAAATAAAAATAGCTCACATGTTTTAGATACTTTTTGGGTATAAAATAAAAGTAGAGTGTCTAAAGTTTACAATGATATGCAGCAAGGTGCATTTCATGCAAAAATTATGCCTAGAAATATGAATTGAAAAGAGCATTCATTTGGTTTGTTTACACTTTTTTTGCCAAGCGAGAGCTATCCTGAGGTCATGACGTCAGAAGATTATTAATAACCAGGGAATTCCACATTCAACACCCCTATTTCTGGATGTGAATATTTATCTGACACATTGCTCTATCATGTGGTCAAAGATATTTTGGAAATGAATATTTTTAAAAAAGTTACAAAGAAAATAAAACACATGTTTTTACTATATAAGTCTATATGTAAGCTAATTGTGGTCCGGGTCCTTATGATTTACTGCGAATCTCTATAAGTTGAAAATAACTGCAATTTTGACCTATAAACGCCATGGGACCATATATTTTTTTCAGTATTTTTTGTTAGGGCTTAGAACAAAGTTTGAAATGATGCTAAAGATTTTTCTGAAATTGTCATAGTAAAGTACTGAGAGGGCCTAAGGTTTGTATGGAGTTCTATGGGAAAATAATTAGTGGTCTTTTCCCTACACCTATTGATCTAGTCTGGTCCCCTTCCCACAATTCCGTTCGCGCACTTTCTACATTGAGGTCAGGCATCGGTTGATTCATAGTCTCGTTCAACCAGACGCTCGGCTGTCTCCGTAAACTCCGACCAGCAGAGAGTCTGGTAAAGAGTCACATTAGCGTTTGTTACCGTCAGAGGGCGCTATCTTGTTTACATTTTGATGACCTTTTTTTGAAACGAATATTTAACATGTTTATTCTGATAGATTGTGAGTTTATATTAATAAACTAATCTTTAAATTTGTACATAAAAACGAGTAATTACAATATCAATAGAGGAAATATGTATTCCGCAGGTAACTACACTACTTTCACTTTAGCTTCCGGAAATATAAAACATGCAAGACATTTTATAAAACACACTTACCTATAACCCATTGACATTACCGTAAACAATAAAATCATTCCTCTTTATCTGCTTTAACTTTTAGACATTCAACTTTTAAAACTTTAATTTATTTTTCTGTCGATTTACCATGTATTTGTTTAAATTGTGGAGGTGTGTTCTTTTCAGCCAATCAAAAACTTTACCAGAATTTTGGTAAGCCTCGTTTTGGCGTTACAAACGATATCACGTATCTTTACCAGACCCTCTGGCTGGTCGGAGATTTACGGAGACAGCCGAGTGTCTGGTTGAACGAGACTAGTTGATTCACTGTTAGACGTTGCACAATTTCAAAATGGCGGACAAAGTAAGTAACCAAGTCGAGAAATAATTGCTCATATCTATTTGTTTTACATCATGACAACTTATTTCATCAATGCTGACTGTTAACCAAAGTTGTTTTCTATTTATTTTTTTATTCATTTGATTTATTTTGCGTAAATTTACACTGTTATCACTGGATTAAAAAATGTTTACATTTTAAGAAAGTGGAGGTAGTCAAAATTGACCCCCAATATTTCCTTTGTCGTGGACCGACATCAAAATTTTATTGTCTAGTCTAATGTATATATGAATGATCTATGTTAGGATATACAATGCTTTATATGTCGCTCCTTATTTAATATAGTAAATGCACCCCAGATTTTTTATCATAATTCTATCAACAATTGGCATGTGCTCTGACCTACTATTGCATATATTTGACATAAAACAAAGGTTTAACGCTTCTGTATTGTTTGCATTTTGCTTGTTACACACATCACAACAATTCTCACTCACAGTCTCAAAGTATCCTGTCAGAAACTGTCTTCTGAAGGTGTTACACCTAACAAATTTTTTTCATGTCATAATCTTGAGTTTGATTTTAAGTCAAGAAAATTTTTTCCAAATATTTTACTAATTATTGACGATTCCCTAATACACATACATTTATATTTGTCTTAGGTATTTTTATATCTTTTTTTCTTTAAATTGTATAATGCTGTGGAATTATTTTGATGCGACTGTGGAGGTCAGTTTTTGTGGACAGACATAAATATATAATTTTGTTTTGTGGACAGGACATAATTTATAAAGGTTAACCAAATAATAATTAAATGAATCTGTGGACTTATAAAATATCCAAATAAGCATTTGTGGAAATAAAAATGTAGCTGATTCACTTGATGTTCAATCCAAAAATGTTAGTCCTCCTTCCTCAAACAATGATGATTCCATAGAAGAATAGCTGCAGGAATGTAGCTCTCCCAAAAATATTTTGACAGACCTAAGTGAGAGCTACAGTGCCACCCACTGAAAGAACTGTATATTTATTGTGCACAAAATTTGTGCTTGCTTTTGTTTTAATTCTTCCTTACTTCTCTTAGTATCAAGTACTCTCATAGTTTACAACTTCATGAAGCATTGCAAGACCGAAATATTTTGCAAACCAAAAGGGTAGTATAAATAGACAAAATTTTCGATGATCTCAATTTCAGGTCCAGGAGGGCTACTAACATCAATTATAAGGAATGTTTTGTTGTGAAAACTGTGAAAGAATATGTTAGGAACACATGGTTAGTAATATTTCGAGATGACGGTTTAAAAACATGGAGAAATAAAATCAGGAAACATTTCTTGTGCGCAATATATATATACAGTTTTTTTTTCAATGGGTGGCACTGTAGCTCTCAGGTTTGCCCCCAATATTTTTTTCAGAGAGCTACAGTTCTGCAGCTAATAGAAAAATAGAGCTCTACCTGTCTAAAATAGACAAAGTAAATCCTCATTATTTTTCCATGAATTAAGACTTCTGCTATGCAAAGTAAAATAATACTGTGCTTATTGCTATCATGATTTTATTACAGCTTGTTTAATAACAGATTTTAAATAAGTCTCAGAATCAATTACTTTGAACACTTTGACAGGATAACTGATGCTGCATAATGTCCATGTTATGAAAAAGAAGATATGAAACAAAAGCCCGTGAGAAAATGTCAACATCAATCATTTATGAATGAAGATGGAGTCTCTAGCCTAAAATTTCTTGAGATAATCAGTGTTGCCTGGTTCATCCAATCAGAATGATCACTCCATTTACAGACTATCAGGTATTCTTTGGTTCTGTCAATACTTTGGACCTGAAAAAAAAAATTCATTCAACATATTTTAATCTGACGTACAGATTTCAGTGTATGAAAATACTTTAAGAAAGTCTGTCAGTATGTGTAAAGTAAAATTTCAAGGTATAATAAAAATTCAGATCATGCTTATCATATTACATGTACAAGTTACATGAACTGTTAACCTATTCAAAAAAAAATGCATTTACATGGTCATTTCTCATTTTCAGGTTCCAATCTGAGGTATACAAGGGAAGAGTAAAATCTTTTTCATTTCTATTTACAAACACTTACTAGATCCAGAAGAATATCCTGATTGTTTTGTGCACCATAAGATGAATTTCAATCTGACACATAATTCTGAAAAATTGAGTGGAACACCATGATCACTGGATGGTCTTCTTCAAGCTGGCATATCTTGTCACAATATCTTGACTCTGCATTGTCATAAAAACTTTGCATTCCTTAAAATACAAAGACAATTTTTAGAAACTAAAACAACAGACTTGATAGAAAGGCTAATATTAAAAAAAATTTCATTATTTACCCCATTTTTTTCCTTTTTAATCATTTTATGAAATTAAAACCCTTGCGAAAATTAGAACCTGCGACTTACTGTCAAGCAGAGGTGTCTGGAAATAAGATAAACGGCTCCTTTAAGGGTAGGATGTAGATCAGTCACTGCGACAACAGAAATAGAACCTCTGTCGGCCGTGAAGTCACCTTCAGGAAGAATGCCGAGAATATCTGAATGCTATGGATTCATGGTGTCATCATACTGTATATATTCACCACTGAAGCCTAAGATATAAATGTTCGAAAGTAATTATAGTGATCATATTTCTGGTATTCCTAAAAAAAATGGTTTTATCTTCTTCTTTTTATTGATAAGCACCACTGTGACAGCAAATTTTAAGTATTTTGTGAATAAAAAAATTGAATCCACAGCTTTTGATTTAATTTGATTGTTTGTGTACATTTGCTTGAAAATTTAATTAAATTAGAAATAGCGGTAAATCTATTTCTGCATTATTTACCAATGGGGTTTCCCCTCCTTGGCGGTAGATACAATATTTTCCTGCAGGCCAGCTTGGCAAAATTCTATTTTCTTCCGTTTTCTTCTTAGCACAAAATTTGTAAAATGTAGAGGTGGGCTTTGAAATGATGTCAGCATTAAATGTGGTACTTGTGTGGTCCATCCTGGTGTCTTTAATATGATGTGTAAAACTGCCTTCATAAAACCCACTGGGACAGCCAGTTACATGTATCCAGGTACTTAAACTGGTAAAGGTGTCAGATGGCCATTTTGTTGAAATCATTCGATCTGAAGAAATAAATATTAGGTACCAAAAGTTTTTCTGAAATTAATTCATCTTATTCTTTAATCTATATAAGATATACATGTATTTGTTACATTTGCCTCCGTTTGGCTAGGTTGAAGTAAGGACTTATTTGACGTTGACCGTGTCTTGGAGAAATAACCAAAAAAAGTCATGATGGAGCCAGTCTTTTGGCACTCCAAACTTTTATGCCAAGTATGCAGATTCAATTTGATGTAAAATAATGTAGGAATTTTTGAAAATAAAAGAAAATTTTTAATTTTTTGTACAATTTTCTATCATCACTGGACTTTCAGAAAAGTGTGGCATTCTCGACACTACATGTACGTAGTTAAAGTATCCCAAATGGCTAATAGATTCTCATTTGTTAAAAAATTAATAACATCAGAACTTTAAATTTTTGTTGCCGACGATGAAATGACCTAAGTCGTCTGACTCTTTGTCGTGGGAGATGCTGTTATTGAATATTTGTTACACTCGTTGACATTCTCCCAAATTTTTTCCCATATATATTTCAACAGTGAATGAAAGCTTTGTAAATTTCAGATGCTTAATATGTAACATCCAGAACACCACACCTTATTGAAACCCAAGGATAACAGAGAATTGTATATGTACTAAGTTAAATACCCCCCATCAAAATGAGTCGGATATCGGGTAGAGAGATCCAGACCCTCGGGACAGCGACAAGTACGCGTGTCCTTGACAAAGGCGGGGTTAGTTACACGAGTTGCCACAGGTCAAAGAGAAACTGGTACACTGGTACACTTCAGACCTATAAACAGAATATAGTGAACTGAACATTAAACGAAGAGCATTACCTAATACAGTAAAACTTGGTTTTACAGAAATTACATCCTATATCCTTTTAAAATTCCTTACATCCATTTTATTCATTATATATAAGGAATTTGCTTAATTTATATTGCTGAGAATACAAGATAACTTCTCTATTCTGTGAATTCACAATATCCATCATGGCATATTTGTATTTATTATACAAGTTTAACTGTTTGGACTTTGACTTGCTTTTCGAGTCCTGGTATACACCGTATTAATTTGCATATTATTCCTTTTGTAAATTTGTAAAATAATTTATAATTAATTTGACTTACTCTCCTTAGAGCTAATATCATTTGAACTGATAAATCTGTTTCACGGTTACATCATTGTTGTCTGTTCATTGAATTGTACTTACAATAAGATTGCAACCACGCAATGACTTGGAGAAAAGGACAAACATTTTAAGATGTGCAAGATTAATTTAAACGAATTACTCTGCAAGTTTAAACTGTATCACCTTAATGGGCTGTAGAGGAGCTGTTCCTGTTGGGCTTCCATGCTCTCTTTTGGCTGACCATCATGTCTTTAATACAGGGGATTTGTTTTCGGTATCCTGGTAAATTCTATGAAATGCAATGAACGATGGAAAAGCCTAAAAAAAACATACAAAATAGAGATATTTATGATTATCTGAAAGCTATAATGAACCTGTTACAACATAAAAAGGATTGGTACAATTTTCAGAATGTATTGCCTTGGCAAATTGGCATTACAGTTGTATGAAAAATTATTATGTATGCAAGGATATTAATAGATTGTGGTGACCTACCAAATTAGCACCACCTCTAACTGCTAAACATCTGTATAGTGGTGGGATTCACTTCCACAAGCCTTCATGAAAATTACATCTTATACTCATGCTATCATGTAAATATTATGCTGGATAAAGTGGAAGGAAATTAAGGTACCAGCTAGGGGAATCATAATAAAACAAAATAAATACACAGGGGGTTAATCCCTCCCCCTTTTCAACTTATATGATGATTGCATGGACAGCAAAATGCAAACAATACAGAAGCGTTAAACCTTTGTTTTATGTCAAATATATGCAATAGTAGGTCAGAGCACATGCCAATTGTTGATAGAATTATGATAAAAAATCTGGGGTGCATTTACTATATTAAATAAGGAGCGACATATAAAGCATTGTATATCCTAACATAGATCATTCATATATACATTAGACTAGACAATAAAATTTTGATGTCGGTCCACGACAAAGGAAATATTGGGGGTCAATTTTGACTACCTCCACTTTCTTAAAATGTAAACATTTTTTAATCCAGTGATAACAGTGTAAATTTACGCAAAATAAATCAAATGAATAAAAAAATAAATAGAAAACAACTTTGGTTAACAGTCAGCATTGATGAAATAAGTTGTCATGATGTAAAACAAATAGATATGAGCAATTATTTCTCGAGTTGGTTACTTACTTTGTCCGCCATTTTGAAATTGCGCAACGTCTAACAGTGAATCAACCGATGCCTGACCTCAATGTAGAGAGTGCGCGAACGGAATTGTGGGAAGGAGACCAGACTACTATTGATCCTGCTCGCGGGTTTTTAGCCGGGCTCATTTCTCGTAGAGAAATGCCCGGCTATTGCGACGGTGAGCAACAGAAAATGCTGCTTCTTCACCGCCAAATTAAATTTACGAGTTAGAATATAGTACGTCTGCGCAATCACCTTTGAGGCAATACAAACACTGAATTAAACTTTCATAGTTATCTGACATTGTCAAAAAATAATTATAACTAGATGAGATCTCGTTGCGAGCAACGAATGGGTCTTCCGTCCAATTCTTGATGAGATGAGATAAGATTTTGATTGCGATTTTCATTCTAAAATAATGATTTACCACAATCTGTAAAAAGACATTGAACATTAAAGTCCTTAAAAAATCGGCCTTTTGCCCCTAACGGCCCCTAATTTTAGGAATCGGCCCTCTTTTTTCATATCATCTTAAAGATCTTAAGATTTTGAACATTTTGTGTTCAACAATTGTTCAGAAATTCTTTTTCGTTTTTGAGATATTAGAAAAAGAATTTTTTAGGGGCCAACCCTTCAACTCCTTAATGGGGACGTTTAGCAAAAAATGAAAGGTTGCATATTGTTAAGAACATTATTTTGAACAACTTTTGTTCAATATTGCTTATCAAAATATTTCTCCCTTTCGAGATATAAAGCATCAAAGATTTAGCATTCTGGCCCCTTGTGGCCCCTAATTATGTACCATACGACATGGAAATCATAATATATAGTTGTAGATGGTTGAGATGAACATCTTTGCTTGAGTAATGTATTACAAAATATTAACCGATAAAGAGTTATCGATTGAAGACTTTTGGCCCCTCTTGGCCCCTAATTCGAGTGCCCAGCCCCTTTTTCGGGATCTCATCTTGAAGATCTTAAGATTTTGAACATTTTGTGTTCAACAATTGTTCAGAAATTCATTTTCGTTTTTGAGATATTAGAAAAAGAAATTTTTAGGGGCCAACCCTTCAACTCCTTAATGGGGACGTTTAGCAAAAAATGAAAGGTAGCATATTGTTTAGAACATTATTTTGAACAACTTTTATTCAATATTGCTTATTAAAATATTTCTCCCTTTCGAGATATAAAGCATCAAAGATTTAGCATTCTGGCCCCTTGTGGCCCCTAATTATGTACCATACGACATGGAAATCATAATATATAGTTGTAGATGGTTGAGATGAACATCTTTGCTTCAGTAATGTATTACAAAATATTAACCGATAAAGAGTTATCGATTGAAGACTTTTGGCCCCTCTTGGCCCCTAATTCGAGTGCCCAGCCCCTTTTTCGGGAATTCATCTTAAAGATCTTAAGATTTTGAACATTTTGTGTTCAACAATTGTTCAGAAATTCTTTTTCGTTTTTGAGATATTAGAAAAAGAAATTTTTAGGGGCCAACCCTTCAACTCCTTAATGGGGACGTTTAGCAAAAAATGAAAGGTTGCACATTGTTTAGAACATTATTTTGAACAACTTTTGTTCAATATTGCTTATCAAAATATTTCTCCCTTTCGAGATATAAAGCATCAAAGATTTAGCATTCTGGCCCCTTGTGGCCCCTAATTTTGTACCATGCGACATGGAAATCATAATATATAGTTGTAGATGGTTGAGATGAACATCTTTGCTTCAATAATGTATTACAAAATATTAACCGATAAAGAGTTACCGATTGAAGACTTTTGGCCCCTCTTGGCCCGTAATTCGAGTGCCCAGCCCCTTTTTCGGGATCTCATCTTAAAGATCTTAATATTTTGAACATTTTGTGTTCAACAATTGTTCACAAATTCTTTTTCGTTTTTGAGATATTAGCAAAAGATATAATTAGGGGCCAACCCTTCAACCCCTTAATGGGGACGTTTAGCAAAAAATGAAAGGTTGCATATTGTTTAGAACATTATTTTGAACAACTTTTGTTCAATATTGCTTATCAAAATATTTCTCCCTTTCGAGATATAAAGCATCAAAGATTTAGCATTCTGGCCCCTTGTGGCCCCTAATTATGTACCATACGACATGGAAATCATAATATATAGTTGTAGATGGTTGAGATGAACATCTTTGCTTCAGTAATGTATTACAAAATATTAACCGATAAAGAGTTATCGATTGAAGACTTTTGGCCCCTCTTGGCCCCTAATTCGAGTGCCCAGCCCCTTTTTCGGGATCTCATCTTAAAGATCTTAAGATTTTGAACATTTTGTGTTCAACAATTGTTCAGAAATTCTTTTTCGTTTTTGAGATATTAGAAAAAGAAATTTTTAGGGGCCAACCCTTCAACTCCTTAATGGGGACGTTTAGCAAAAAATGAAAGGTTGCATATTGTTTAGAACATTATTTTGAACAACTTTTGTTCAATATTGCTTATCAAAATATTTCTCCCTTTCGAGATATAAAGCATCAAAGATTTAGCATTCTGGCCCCTTGTGGCCCCTAATTATGTACCATACGACATGGAAATCATAATATATAGTTGTAGATGGTTGAGATGAACATTTTTGCTTCAGTAATGTATTACAAAATATTGACTTTTAAAAAGTTATTGAATAAAAACTGTTGGCCCCTTTCAGCCCTTAATTTGATGAGTCAGCACATTTTTCTTGATATCATATGAAAGACCTTGATGGTTTGCACAAATGTTGTTCAGTATGTTTTAACAAAATATTTATATTTTAAAAGATATGATACAAAATGTCTCAAAAAATCACTCATAAAACGTGTCCTAAATTTTGACCCCTACCGAGCTTCCATACTAGGCACTTCCGGAAAATATCCTGACCATGTTGCAACGTGGCAACATGTCCTCTATCATCACTAAAAATTTCAGCTTTCTAGCTTGAGCCGTTTTTGAGTTCCATCACAGACAAGGAGGACCTCCAAATTTTGATCAAAGGGCGATAACTCCCGACCGGAAGTGAATTTCCAAAAAAAAATTTGCCGGAATTAACTTCAGATGAAAACGCATCGACTGTGAAAATTTGAAGCAAATCGAACGAGCCATCTCCGAGAAATCGTCTGCACAAATTTTGTAAGAAGAAAGAAAAAAGAATAAAAATAATAACTAGATGAGATCTCGTTGTGAACAACGAGTGGGTCTTCCGTCGAATTCTTGATGAGATGAGATAAGATTTTGATTGAATTTTTTTTACAATGATAATATTAAGAAAACGACTTTGCTGCCGTCATGTTTAAAATAAATATTGAACGTTAAATAGTCATAAATTCGAATTTTGGCCCCTCTTGGCCCTTTATATGAGGGGCCAGACTTTTTTCCTTCAAATCATCTAGAAGCTCTCAAGATTTTAAACACTTTTTGTTCAACAACTATTCAGAGATTCATTTAATCAGCCCTTTTTCTTCATATCATCTTAAAGCTCTAAGGATTTTGATCACTTTTTGTTCAACAACTGTTCAGAAATTCTTTTCGTTTTTTGAGATATTAGCAAAAGAAATATTTAGGGGCCAACCCTTCAACTCCTTAATGGGGACGTTTAGCGAAAAATGAAAGGTTGCATATTGTTCAGAACATTATTTTGAACATCTTTTGTTCAATATTACTTATTAGAATATTTCTCACATTCGAGATACGAAGCGTCAAAGATTTACCTTTCTGGCCCCGTGTGGCCCCTAATTATGTATCATACAACATAAAAATTATAATATATCGTTGTTGATTGTTGAGATAAACATTTTTGCTTCAGTAATGTATATCAAAATATTGACTGATAAAGAGTTATCGATTGAAGACTTTTGGCCCCTCTCAGCCCCTAATTTGTGTGCCCAGCCCCTTTTTATGGATTTTACCTTAAAGCTCTCAAGATTTTAAACACTTTTTGTTCAACAACTATTCAGAGATTCATTTTCGTTTTTGAGATATTAGCAAAAGAAATTTTTATGGGCCAACCCTTCAACTCCTTAATGGGGACGTTTAGCGAAAAATGAAAGGTTGCATATTGTTCAGAACATTATTTTGAACATCTTTTGTTCAATATTACTTATCAAAATATTTCTCACTTTCGAGATATAAAGCGTCAAAGATTTAGCATTCTGGCCCCTTGTGGCCCCTAATTATGTACCTTCCGACAAAAAAATCATAATATATAGTTGTAAATGGTTGAGATAAACATCTTTGCTTCTGTAATGTATTACAAAATATTAACTGATAAAGAGTTATCGATTGAAGACTTTTGGCCCCTCTCAGCCCCTAATTTGAATGCCCAGCCCCTTTTTCTGGATTTCATCTTAAAGCTCTCAAGATTTTGAACACTTTCTGTTCAACAACTATTCAGAGATTCATTTTCGTTTTTGAGATATTAGCAAAAGAAATATTTAGGGGCCAATCCTTCAACTCCTTAATGGGGACGTTTAGCGAAAAATGAAAGGTTGCATATTGTTCAGAACATTATTTTGAACATCTTTTGTTCAATATTACTTATCAAAATATTTCTCACTTTTGAGATACAAAGCGTCAAAGATTTTGCCTTCTGGCCCCTTGTGGCCCCTAATTATGTAATGTACGACATTAAAATCATAATATACACTTGTAGATTGTTGATATAAACATTTTTGCTTCAGTAATGTATAGCAAAATATTGACTGTTAAAGAGTTATCGAAAAAAGACTTTTAGCCCCTCTTGGCCCCTAATTTGAGTGTCCAGCCCCTTTTTCTTGATTTCATCTTAAAGCTCTCAGGATTTTGAGCGCTTTTTGTTCAACAACTATTCAGAGATTCTTTTTCGTTTTCGAGTTATTTGCAAAAGAAATATTTAGGGGCCAACCCTTCAACTCCCTAATGGGGACGTTTAGCGAAAAATAAAAGGTTGCATATTGTTCAGAACATGATTTTGAACATCTTTTGTTCAATATTACTTATCAAAATATTTCTCACTTTCGAGATATAAAGCGTCAAAGATTTGGCATTCTGGCCCCTTGTGGCCCCTAATTATGTACCATACGTCATAAAAATTATGATATATAGTT